TCGTGGGTTTGGGTTTTGGGTTACTAGGGTTACTAGTGGGCGTGGGTTTGGGTTACTAGAGGTCGTGGGTTTGGGTTTTGGGTTACTAGGGTTACCCCCCCTCTTTTCCGCTGTCTGGCTAATGTTTCTTCCTGTGTGTACAAATGCAGAAGGAGATGAAGGCCTACGATGAGGATCTCGGTGGAGTTTGCATGTCTTCACTTTTTTTTTTTTTTTTTTTTTTTTTTTTTTTTTTTTTTTTTTTTTTTTTTTTTGTGCGGGGACTTCGGCTTGGTGATGCTCCCAAATGCGAGTCGCTAAGCTGCATGGTGTGACTGAGGCATATCAGCCAAGCGGGTGCGGTGGCGCTGTCTTTCAGCACAGAATCAGCAGGGATCCAACAGCGCCAAGCGGTTGGGTGTGCACACAGGCCCTGTAGTTCAGCAGGGCTCCAGTACGCAGGGGGTCAACTGCACTGCAGTGAAGTCTACCCAGTTGTGTTGGGTAGAATACACGAAATCCAATTGTTATGACAACATGTTCTGTTCCTGCTGTTACGAGGGGTATGACGAAAGGACACAAGGGATTTGGTACTTGCAGAGTTCCATCCTTGATTCCTTTCCTTGAAAGGGCATACCATCACGCAGTAGGGGGAAAAAGCCCCCATCCTTTCTGGTTGATCGTCATGCAGCTCTGAGGGATACTGGTCCCTTTCACCATTGATCCCTTCTGCGATTGATCGTCATGCGGCACTGAAGGAAAGTGGTCCCTTTCGCCATTGATTTGTGTATGAATTTAGCTTTGTGAAGGCTATATCTGAGATGGGTAGTACGTGCTTTGGAGTGTGGGATGTGAAAGCATCCATCTCTTCATCTGCTGCTGCCAGAACAGCATTGCTGCCTGCGGGTTGTGTTGCATTTACGGACGTGCAGCATGTCAGAACTTCGAGGGCTTGTGGCACGAAGATGTCCAAGCGGCATAGAACTCCTGTTCTTCTTCGCCTTCTTGAGGGATGTCCATCCATCTGCAATCCTTCATTTTGTTCCGATCTGGCAAAATTTGGCACGCGTGTCCTGTGCCCTACCGGCCGTCGATGCCGCCATTTCGTTGGAACGTGCGATTCTCTGAGGTGCAGAGCTACTGCAAAGAGGAACGTCGTCACTTCGAGCTTGCGCACTCCCCACAGTGGGTATCATTTTGATGGGAGCAAGCGCAGGTTCTTCGAAGGGTGGTATTTTAAAGTGAGTTTGCCGGAGGAGAAGGATAGCTTCGCATTCATGTACTCGATTGAGGATCCTGGGCAAGAATCGTCTTCCAGTGGCAAGGACACCGATGTGGCTGGCTCCCTCCGCGATGCATGTACCAAGTCTTCTGACTCCCATGTGGGCGTAGGCGCACAGATTATGGGGCCTCGCGATACCTATCTTATGAGGTACAGCAGAGACGTGCAGCACTTCTGGGCAAGCCCAGTAGAACTTGAGCTGGGAAATGCCTTTGATATGGCGCAACGAAGTGCAAAAAAGCACCCTCGCAGTATGATTCCTGCTGATGAGTTTGCATTGAACGTCGACCAGGGGTTTCAAGCGTCAACAACCTTTCATCAGGGGGTCCTCTTTGACGACGGGAGCTCTCCTGATGTCTCGACGGTCCCCGTTGCCAAGTGGGAGTACAGCACAGTACCAGTCTACGGTTGGGGCAATGTGGTTGAGAGACAGAAGGCCACTGCTGGGTGGTTGGCAGCCTTGCCTGTGTTCGAGCCCCATTGGCAGATTCTCATGGCAGCTGGAAGATCGACCGGTTGGATTGAATGGGGCGGGAAGCGGTTCGAGTTCGAAGATGCTCCATCTTATTCTGAGAAGAACTGGGGTGGTTCGTTCCCTCGCAAATGGTTTTGGGTCCAATGCAATGTCTTCGAAGGTGCGACGGGCACAGTGGCCTTGACTGCTGGAGGTGGGCGACGTGGCACTCCTCTTGCAGCAGGCAGAGAAGAGGAGGTTGCATTGATCGGGATTCATTATGGTGGTCAGTTCTACGAGTTCGTTCCCTGGACGGGTAAGGTCTCGTGGGATATTGCGCCCTGGGGCTCGTGGACGATGTCCGCTATGACCACGGATTACGAGGTGGAGCTGTTTGCAACAACGGACTCGGAAGGCGTTGTGCTCCGCGCTCCAACGGCGGACGCAGGCCTTACACAGGCATGCAGAGACACTTTCTCAGGCACACTGCAGCTTAAGTTGTGGGAGGTGTCCAATGGACGACGCGGAATTTGCATACTAGATGTGACCAGCACTATGGCCGCCTTGGAGGTTGGCGGAGGCCCTTGGTGGGGTAGGTGGGTAAAGGAGTCAGAAATGAACGAGCCGGTGAAGTCCATAGTTGGTCTTCCACTTGACGTAGGGTCGCTCTTGAGCCATCTTCCTGGGGGATTTTCCCTTCCCGGGTTATGAAGTTGGCGCGAGCCAACTGCAGGGTACAGTTGCAGTGGCCACGAATAAACACCCCAATACCTACTCCCTCCCCTCCTCTTTCCCCCCCCCCACACACACACACAAAAAAAAAAAAGGAAAAAAAACCTCCCTGTTTGTTCGGGATGTGTGGTTCAAAAGCATAGCTGGTGTTCTGTTGTTGTTTTGATCGGGTGATCCAAGGGGAGCGGATGCTGAATACCATTAAGTGGTCATTATACATCATCTTCAGAAAGAACAAGCACTCGACAGCCCCTCTCAAGCAACAGATTTCAGTGTGTGACTCAGTTTGCAGTGACTCATCTGTGTGGGGGATAGTTCTCGAAACACAATCGAATTGCGACATGATTTCTCCCTGTGCTGGGGTCTGCTTTTTGTGAGGAGAAGGTGCAGATGAATGTCGCTGTGGCGCTTACAGAGTCGGCGGGTATGCTTTGGAACGAACCCCGGGAACATTTTTTCAGCCCTTCCTTCCAAATCTTTTGGCAAGAGCCATTTGTGGTCTATCCACAGTGCATCGGGGGCGCACTGGGATATGATATGATTATGGCAGAGTGACATGAACCTTCTCTTTTTTTTTTTTTTTTTTTTTTTTTGAACCTTCTCTCTGCGTTGACCCGTCTGGTGTAATGTATGCACAACAACCACGGTTGTACCGCAGCCGAGACTCGAGAGTGTCGCCGAGGGCCAGTGAGGGGCTGGCAAGGGGCCAATCCTCTGGAGGTTAGCTTGCCAAGACGATCACACAGCAGCTATCTGAGTGCCCTGTTTCTCACTATAGTATAGACCATGTTGGCTGGTCTTGTTGAAAATGATCCCTATACATCACTTAAACCGCCAGTACAAGGCGCCACCAGCCTTGGAGAAAGATTCCGTCACCACAAGAAAGTTTCGGAGCAACTATCGGGGCCGGTGCGGGCCATTGGTGAAAATCATCAATGGCCATCGTCGCGTTTCGGGCCTCCGAAACACGCAGTGTCAGGCCTGTGAAACACTCAGGTGCCCATGTACTTGTGGTTTAAAAGCAAAGCATCCCAATAGAACTATTGGCCTCATCTTTAGCTACTGCCTGACGCACACGGCTGTGCGCAGGTTGCAGCGCACAAGCACCATTTCCAACTCTCAACGTCTGAACTTCTCTGAAGTGATGGTGATCTACAGCATCGTACCCTGCGCATCGTACCCTGCGATGAAATCCCTTTTTTGTGGAATGGCATGCTTGCTTTGGACCTGGGGTGCATTTTGACCATCAGGTCTGTGATGAGGTAGCATGCAATTCCCCGTTCGTGGTTTTTTTTTTTTTTTTTTTTTTTTTTTTTTTTTTTTTTTTTTTTTTTTTTTTTTTTTTTTTTTTTTTTTTTTTTTTTTTTTTTTTTTTTTTTTTTTTGTAACCAACCAAGGCTCCAAGCTATTCGTGGGGCGCAGCACGTGCTGAGAACCGGGCTCAGCGTCCCTTGTTATAATTGGAATCATACAAAAGACATGTGGACAATGAACATAGGACAAAAAGAAAAGGGGTTTTACTCCTGGTGCTGAAAACCGGGTCCCGCGTCCCATCGCCGCCTGACCTACCTTTTTCTTCCTGGAAGGCCCAAGGCCACTGGGGGTCCGCCAGGGCCCAGGGCCACTGGGGGGCACCAGTGAGCCCTCTCGTCCCCCTGCCCACCTTCCATCCTATATCGCACCCGGAAACCGGGTCCGGCGTCCCCTATGCCCTGATCCTTAGTGTGTATAGAGTTGAGCGTACCCTGGGTCATCTGAGGCTATACACGTGTAATAGACGTTCTCATCAGCTTTGTTGCATGCTGAGATCGGCTTATGAGCCTGAAAGATTGCCACCACCTCTGTAGTGCTGTTTGGCTGGTCAGCCACATTCTAAGGATATGTTTGATGCTGCAGGGCCATGTCAACAGCAGCCCCTGTCTTGGTAGCTTGTATTTCAGGACCAGCTTGCATGCGTTTTTTTGGATTTATGTTTGAACCACCTGTACGTTTCCCACCCACTTGTCTCCGACGCAGCGTGCATGCAGCCGCAAGTTTTGGGGGCCTGCCCACGGGAGCAAAATGGCTGGCAGCGCCAGCCAAAAGAAGTCGTGCGCGGGCTCATCTTCTTCTGGCGTGCAAGGAGTCCTGTGCTGGAAACGGGGGGGGGGGAGGGTGTAAATAACCAGTGCATATTGAGGCTTGGCAAGGGAAGGAGGATCAATCGTACTCGTTATTTAAATATTTAAATTTTAAACCACCAGTACTTGGCCCAGCTATTGATGCTGAGCCTGAATATGCCCTGCGCCCCAAGTTTTGCCGAGCCTGGAGGGGACGAGAACATGTACGGGACATTTTCTGAATGGCACAGGTACCGCCCCTTATGCTGGACATGCAGCCAGCAGCTGGTTCAAAATGGGGCAGCCGTTTTCACTCGTGAATCAGCCCAGGGCGGCCACAAATGCAGTCAGATGCATTATGGAAATGGCAGCGTGAGAGGAAAAAAGAAGAAACGACGGAAGCATTTATTGCTCCCTGTCTCTCACGGGGAGCACATCAGAAACAGCCAACGAAAAGAAGGCAAGCGAGGTCCCTGTCCTCGCATCACAAGCCCGTGGTCGGCCACGTGAAACAGTGCATGAGCGACGTATCAGATCTCATGGAACTCGGATCTCAACAGTTCAGGGGTGCACACACTGAATTCTGAATGTTTGCCGTCGGGAATATCTAGTGTGGCAACGGATCTCACTTTTTTTTTTCATTTGTTTTTGCCAAATCAGGAAAAAATAATCTCAAATAAAATAAAAGGGCGGGTGGAAACCAAGCCCGCTGTCTGAGGGTCTGGCTGCACTACTCTCCGAATGTGCAAAACGAGACTGAATCTTCTGTTAGAAAATGGAAAGATACATTGCCATCTTTTTTTGTATTTTGTGCCTGTGGAGAGTAGTGCAGCGAGGCCCTAAGACATCTCCTTCCCAGCCGAAGAACGAAGCCTAAGACATCTCCTTCCCAGCCAAAGAACGAAGTAGCACCAGCAGCATGAAGGGCCTCGCTACATGCACAACAGACAAAAATCATGGGGTTGTCTCTTTCCATGTTCTAGTAGAGGATTCACTCTCGTTTTGTAGATGTCGAGAGTAGTGGAGCGAGGCCCGAAGTCTCACTTCAACCTTTATGATGTATAATATAAAAAAAAGACGAAAAAAGAAAAAAGAAAGTTCTCTCTCAGGCCGTCGGGAATATGTAGTACCGAAAAAATAAAAATAAAAAAAAATCTAGTACGAGGTTGCAGCTCAAAGTCACTGCTAGATCCAAGTGCTAGATCCAAGTGCAAAGTGAGACTGAATCCTCCCTAGGAACATGGAAAGATGCATTCATGGGGAATAGTGGAGCAACGCCCTTTACCTGCCCGCCTGCCCGCCGTGAGAGGCGGCCCTCTGGCAACTATGAACGGCGTTTTCTCACCATTTTTGCCTGCAGAGTGGCGGGT